GACCCCTCAGACAAGGCTCACTTCATCCTTCCTGTTTCACATTTAGCATATTCACTTTCGTGCCAATGGGAGATGAAGAACAGATGATGGCAATATCATCAAGTAACCACCTAAAATGTATTCTCTCTCTTTCTCACATCTAGATAAAATTCTAGTAACAAGTGCTGCCTAACAAGGGGGTTCAACACAAAACTGGAAACTAGAGTTTCAGAAAACATCAACACAGGTATAGCCCCCAGGGTCAGCTGATGTGGACTACGCAATATTCTGCGCTTCTGGAGCAGGTTGACCTCATCCACCCTGAACAGCAGATGTTCTGAACTCTGAAACATTACACTACCCTCCACACCCCAGATCATGCTGAGGACACCATCCTGCAGCTCATCTATATACTGCAGTACACCTGTAACATACCTGAAGTCACTCCAACACTCACATCTCCATACCCTGTCCGCCCCACAGTTCATATTATTAAAACCATGCTCCATTTGGCATTGCAGGAGATTCATGTTTTGGAAGACGAGCCACACCACCAGTGCTTATGTCACCTGTGCCTTCCACAATTCCTGGCCTTTCTCTGGGGCCAGGCCAATTCCCCACCACCACCACACACTCCCTAGTCAGGCAGCCATACCTGGAGAAAAAGAGGGCCACACAAATGAATACTTCATCTAGGTCCTAACCAGTAATTGAAACAGAAACATTTATTTTCATCCTGACTACTCCCTCGAGAAGTCCCAGGGTAGAGGTCACCATCATTACGCAGTGAGAGGTGCTGTGAGGCATAAGGAGCTGGGTGACCTGTAACACCAGAGCAATCATTGCAAACATTATTTCCTCCGGTTCCTCTACATCCAGCCTGTAACTGTCTCTGCTTCCGCTTCTGGCTTCCAGATGTATGCTAGCCACAATTCTTCAGCTTCAGACTTGGGACATTACAGCCCCACAAACATGTTAATAAAATGAGCTACTGACAGAGGTCCTCTCTACCTTAGCTCAGACAGCACTGGTTTACTGGTTTCCTCATTCTCCTCTCCCCACTCCTGTTTTTCCTTGCCAAAGTACTCCACGCAGTTAAAAAAAAACAAACCCAGATGATCCATTTCTTTAAACATTCCTCAGCTTAGTCTCTCTTTCATCTGCAAGTCAAAAGAGCCTGTGGCAGTATTTGCAAAGCCCAAGCATCAGACCCACACAATGGGAATACCCCATGCACCTGCACTGGAGTAGACAGCTCTGAGGTCAGGCTTGCACTCCCACAGCAACCAGACACCAGCACTGCTGATCAGGATGACCATCAGCACCCCCTCCTAGCTGCCTATAGCTGGAGAATGGGTGTCAGACTGAGCAAAGATGGGTCAGGCACCTCCCCCTTTCTCCTCACCATACATTTGAGAAGTGTGTCAGTTTTTGCCAGCCTAGAGAAACACACAACTCACTCTCAACAGACCTGCAACACAAGTGAAAATAAATAAATAAAAACCCCAGCCTTCCCCCTCGCCAAAACCCCCAAAACAGTGAATATATATCTGTTGATACCAGGTGTACATTCATTCCTTGGAGGTCTGTCCCAGAAGAACTGCTTGGAAAAGATGGTCCACCATCTCCAGTTAGTGTCTCAAAGTCTTGGTAGAATACTGCAGCCATCCCTAGTGACCTGAGCTCCTCCACAGCACCTTTTGGTGCAACTGCAGTGACAGGAGCAACAACACAAGCAATAACATTCATTTCAGCATTACCATACTTCTGAAAATAAATGCTGTTGAATCAAACCCACTGCTTAACAGGGAACATGCCCCATATAAAATGTTGTTTGCCACCGTGCCTAAGCTTTGGAGTACATCACTTCAAAGCAGTTGGGTTTGGGGTTTTTTTTAAACAAACTGGAATCAAGGATGAGTTCCAGCCTTAACCTAGAATTGATTCAGACTTATGCTAGGAGTGACTGACAGTCAATTGATATCACAGCTGCTGAGGGGCCTCTACAAAGCTGGTCTCTATCCAGTCCCTAAAGAAACAGGTGCCCACACTACAGAAGTCAGCAGCATGGCTGTATGAATCACTACCCAAGGGCAGACCTGTCAGGCTCACCCATGTCAGCCACCACAGCCAGATGATCCTCTGAACAGCATTTTATTCTGAAACAAGCCCCATACATGGCACAGTCAACATGCTCTACACAAGGCTTTTGTTTCAAGTCCAACAGACAATTCTGATGCAAGTTTTCAATTTACAAATAATTTAAAAAAACCAACACTCTGCTCAGCATAAAAATAACACATCTTCCATTGTCTCCAACACATTTAGTCCTCAAAATTTGGTTTTGCATTGCTAAGATGGCAGATTTGCTTAGGTTCCAGGGAAGACTATTCTAATGAGGAATGGCCCACTAAGACATACCAAACCCCAAAACTTATAACCTCCACCTTCTAAGGATTAGACCCAGAAAACAAGAACTTTCAAGCACAGTCTTGCAGTCAACTTTCAAATTGGCATGACCACATCCTAATCTTGGCTTCAGAATCTGCACTTTTGAGTGGCAACCTAGCCTGATCGTACTACTCTCCCACACCTCAGCAGGGTGGTCAGAGCAGGCAGCAGGCAGAGAGCCAACAGTTCAAGGCAGAGTCTCTCAGCTCTTATACCCATCACCTCTCAAAAGAGTCCAACCAATTCCTAACATCTCTAAAAAAAAAAAACCAAACCAGGTAAAATTAAGTCAATTTCTTTCAACCCCATGCCCTTCTCCCTGCCAACCCCACCAGCCCATTCAGGGAAACCGTAGAGGCCAAAGTGTTCCATAAAACACAAGTGCCACACAACCCACTTGAATTTGGCTTCCATCTACATCTTGAAGGAGAGGGGAAAAAAAAACACGACATCACACAAACAATTTTCACACATTTAATGTAATGGCACCCTAATTAAGTTTACAGTACTTTCATCTCCACTAGATACTGCGTTTCAAAAGTATAATGGAAAAAAAAAACATAAAAAAACCACTTTTTTTTGTAAAGTTTTAGAAACTCAACCATGTGGAGTTACATATGCATAAATGCCTTTCAAAAAATAGTTAAGAATTGTATTTTTCACCCTCACACAACAAAAAATTAGGTTTTCCTGGGTCTTTTCACAAGATATGGAGATCAAAGATGGCACTTAAACTTCTGAAGTAGGGGGTGTCATAAGGTTATATCAGGACTTCCGCTGGAGAACCTGCCATGAAGCAAACACTAAAAATAGGAAAAGAATGTGCAAGAGCTCTGAAGAAGTGAGAAGCACAACATGTTTTGCAAGCTTGTGTTCTGATAGCCATGGAACTGAAGACTGCTGGCTGAGGAAAGCCTGCCTGAATTTCTTCAGCTAAAGTCTATTCAAAGCATAGCCATCATGGGAAGTCATATGGATAGCAATACACGAGACTCTTCGGTACTAATGATGAGCTCTCCTTTGGATTTCACCTCGGATCAACAACCAAAACAAGCAGAAAGGTCACTTGGAGAAGCCATAGGAATAATAGAAGTATTTGTTGGTTTTCCTATGACAAGTAATTAAGAGAACTAATATGGAAGCAGATGAAAATAGACTAGGCAGAAGTCTTTTTAATGTACTATCACCTAGAAAACTAGCAATCCTACCGTTTTATTAGGTTTCACACTTTGACTTTAAAGAGTTAAGGAAAACAAGTACACTTTGTGTGAATAAAGTTTGGAGCATCCTTAAAGAGGGGAAGCTAACCTAGGAACAGCCAAGGACCCTTGATTTTCACCTAAAAGCTTAGCCTGAAAGATGGTAACCTCACACAGTCACTTAAAAGAGTCTTAAATTGTGGGGGTGGCTGTGTTTCCTACAATTTAAAGTGAACATTTTAGCTATTATTCCTGTAATTCAGGATTACGGAATGGACCCATGTTCGTAACTGGAGAAAACTACCTTTGGACAAGTCAGTGGTTTGGTTCTAGTAGGAACTTTAAATATTCCTTCTCCCACACTTAAGAACTACTCATTCTGCTGTTTCCACTTTTTTTTAATTAAGAAAATATTTATTAGACTAAGAAAGGCATTAACATTTTACCTTTGCATCCTGCTTCTAGAGTTGGCTTCCACCTCTAAGTTCCAGCAGTCATCATCCCTAAAGGACATTCACTAATACTCTTATATTTAATACTAAAGGCCACATCCTTCCAAAGTCTTCTCAGTGTGAAAACTCTCCTCAAATGCATACAGAAATGACCTCTAAAAATACCTTGATACTTGTGAAAGTAATTAAGAACTTAAAGTTCATAATTTGTTCACTTAGATGCCCATATGATATGAATCAGATAATTTGATTCATACACAGGACTGATGGAGTATGTTAAAGAAAAAATGCAGAAGTCTACATGAATTACAACTTTTGGTTGAATCATATATTAATTATACAGAAGAAACTAAAAAATCTCTAAACAGAAAAAGGGTGGAAATAAACACACTCACTCCAGCACTTTTCCTACTATAAGAATATTGCACATTCCGATAATGTTGCACAAATTACTGGCTTTTGATAAAGACCATATATGAGGTATTAGTCTATTAATAAATAAAGAACATGGAAAAGGAAAAGCACTTAATATAATGCAACAATCCATTCCAAGTATTTAGAGAACGAAAACTGAACAAGCAATAATACGTACCCTTGAGGGGAAGGTTAAAGTTACTCAGCAAATAGGCAGCTTTCAACATCCACCCGAGAAGCAAAGGGTTAAATCTCTTCTGATACAGATTTTAAGAACTCAAAGCCTATTTAAAACCCTGCTGTTTAAAATGCTCATTTTGCTCATGCAATCAATCTGAGAGGTAAATTCTTATCTCAGTTCTGAAGGGACAGCAATATGTGGGTGGTGCCAGTAATCTTACTAAGGGGAACCAATTTAATATACTAAACCTGTATTACTAGTTAAGAAATAAAACAAAACTTTTGGCTTGACATCAGTTAAAATAGTCAGGGGTTTTGTTGTGGGTTGTTTTTTTTCTTTTTTTAGTTTTAAATAGTTTAGACTGGTTACAGATTTCCATGGTGCTGAAATTGATACCCATTAGTACTGTCCTTATTGGCAGATTCCAGCACCACAAGGCATTAGATGAATACAACAATTGTAATTTTCAGTTTTACTCTGTGTTTATGCTAAGAATTTACCTTTCAAATCACAACACTGAAAAATTCCTGCTGACAGGTAATAAATCTGTCAATCTAAACACAATCTATCTATTTTTTTATTTAGGCCCTTCCAGAAACACTAGGAATCCGCAGGCAAGCTTATCTTGTTTAAGCTCACAAGAGCACAGAGGAGTACTTAAGTTCAATAAACTGAGCTAAGGAAACTACATTGCACACGTGGTAATATAATAAGCATAAAACAAGAGTGTTTTCAGTATGCTCTTCCAAACCTCGATAAACAGTTATTTGTATTCTGGAAGAAAAAAAAGAGACCTTGCATGCACGCAAGCTTACATACATGAATATCCCTTAAATAAGTCAAGGGTTATTCAAATCCCAAGATCTTTTCAGGCCAATGAAAGGCTATGCAGAAATAGAATTAATTCCAACATCACTCTCCTAGGTGAAGCACAATCTTAACATATTTCCTCTTGTTATTTTCCAACTTTAAGAAGTGTTTTATGATTAATATATTTGCAATGCTGGACAGAGTAACAAAGATCCAGGTAAGTCATATTTCTGATGGTAGTTTGCGTAAATTATCCAATTTGCACAGTAAGTCTGTATCAGGTAAAAACTGCAAGTGAAAACTTGGAAAGATGTGATAAAAAAAGCAGCACTTCAAAGTTAAAGTTTCCCCTCTGCTGCAATCCATGCACCAGTAACTCAAACAGTCTTGAATTGGCATGTATGAAAAAATTATATTACATTTCTCAAATTAAAAATATATATCTTGTGTTGAAGTTCAGATTTATGGAAAGTGTTTACTAAACTGAAATACACATAATTTCCTCTGCCACATGAGATTTCTCTCCCATTCTAAGTAGTTACTGAGACATCTACTTCCCAAATGCATGTTGTTTCTATTCTGAAGATTAGTTTTCATCTACAATTTCTTTATAGCAGTTAAGTGTTTTTTTAGAACACACAGTTCAAAGAATTTTTTCCGTGTTAGCGCAAAACCAAGAAAGATCATGAAGATGTTGAAAGAAGAAGAAAAGAGATGAAAAGAAAGGAAACATTATTGTCCAGAACAGTCTGTATATGTGGTAACCATGTTTCCTCGTCTCTGAGTGACAGTCCTACAGTGCTTACTGGATCCATGAAATCTGGTATCAGTTCGCACTGCATGCCGGTGTGCATTTTCAAAGTCACTAAACGAAAACATTTTTTCCATATTTTCAAACACATCATCAAACAGTCCACCTCCAAAGGAGAACTCTTGGAAAGAACGCCTTTGCCGATTGTGAGCTTCCCGATGACTTCGGAAGTGATTTTCAAAGTGCTTTTTGGACCGTGAGTTTTGACTAAAGAGGTCAAAGTCTTTGAACAGATCATCAAAGTTGAAATTAAATGACTGATGGAACGGGCTTCCATTATTTCCTTGTCCTCCATGACGGCCAAACTGATCATATTCTCTTCGTTTATTCTCATCTGATAATGTTTCATATGCTATTTCCATTTAAAAGAAAAAGTTGTAAAAGTTTATTTACATTCTCATTTGAAAAAAAACCCAAACAACAACAAAAGAAAACCATACACAAATACAAAGAACAGCTTTCTCCCACTCCCTCAACAGGACAAATTTCAAGCAAGACTTTCATTCAATATGCAAGCCCAACGAAGGTCAACATTTGTTTAACTTTTTCCAATCCAGAATAAGCTGTTTCAAAACAAATATTTATAATAATAAATATAGCTATACTATGAGGACAGATTATATCCTCAAAATTTTAAATTCACATAATACAACATAGCTTAACTAGCATTAAAGATTAGTGTTTATATTTGAAAGAAAATAGCAATGACATATGGTGATCAGAAAGACTGGAGGACTGAGGATGAGTTAGGAGCACTACCTAACAAAATGAACTGCCTACTGCATTCCTATCACAGTAACACAGTGCAGTGTCTGCAAAATTACTTGCCAGCCAGCAGGTTCTAGCTAGACCGCAGTTACAACTAAGCAACAAGATAAACATCAAGGAGATAAAGGGAATTAGTTTCCCCTGTGTCCAAATTCTTGGTTTTTCAAAAGTTCAACAATTAACCTAGATTTTGTGACTGGATATATCTGAAATGAAATTAGGTTTCCATCTGATCTTTGGTCTACAACTACAGCTACTGGTGTTCCAAGGCAGAAACTCTGACAGATAATATACCTATTCTGAAACATTAAGTATTTCAAACACTTCCATTTTCTTATCTGTCAAAGGCTTGCAACTATTCTATATACTTCAACACTTACTTAAGAGTTCCCAATTCCTCCCGCAATAGGTGCTAACTACAGTAAGTATCTAACGAGACTGTCCCTCCCTTTCACTATATTAATGACTACCTTTCTTTCAAAATAATTTTTCTGCAGACAAGAAGGTAAAACCCAGAAATCTCCTGCTAGCTTAGAACTACACAGATGGATGTTATAACAGAGTCTATGGGGATCAGATGTGGGAACACCTGATTTTTCAGCAAGCCTTTTTCTATTCTTGATTATCCACTTCCACAATTATATTTTATCACAAAACACTTATGAATGGTGTATTCCTAGGACCACAGGGTAACTCAGGTTGGAAGTGACCTCAGAAGATCTGTACTGTAACCTCCTGCTCAAAGCAGGGTCAGTTATGAGATCAGACTAGCTTATTCAGGGCTTTATCCACTCATTCCTGATGAATTTCCAAGGTTGGAGACCTCACAACCTCTCTAAGCAACCTGTTCCAACACCGGCCTATCCTCAAGATGAAGAAGTTTTTCCTTATAAACACTCTGAACCTCTTGTACTCCCACCATGAACCACTTTGCTGTATTTTTTTTTTTTTATAATCTCCCCACAGTTACTGGAAGGTTGCTGTTAGGTCCCCCTGAAGCCCTAGTAATCCTGAGCTGGATCTTACTAGACAGATCAAAAGATAAGAATTAACCTCCTAGGGCTAAAGTTGTCCTACTGCCAAGTATGTTTTTGTGACAAGAGGCATAAGCCAAAAAGCCTAATAAGCAGGAATGCATAAACTGTGTAAAAGGCCTGCCTACGTACAAGGACACAGAAACAAGCCAGATACTGATACTGGACATTTGACACACAGAAACAGAAATAAGAAAAAATCTTTTAACCTCTTACTCAGCAAAACCAGAGCAAACCTAAGTAACCACATCTGCTCACAGATATAAGCCATGTATTAAATTATTAAGACTAAGGATAGCATATATTACCTTCAGCAATTTCTCTAAATTTTGCTTCTGCACCAGGACTCTTATTTTTGTCTGGGTGGTATTTCATAGCCAGCTTGTGAAACGCCTTCTTGATCTGGCGGTCAGATGCATTTTTTGGAACTCCTAAGATATCATAATAGCTCTCTGTAGCCAGTATTAATTCAGTTATCATTAAAATGCAGAGAGCAAATGTGAAGACAGATTGCGTAGTTGCCATTTCTCTGGTTCCTAGAAAGAAAAAGAAATATACTTGAAGAACAAGTTATTTCAGTTTCTGCAACAACTTAAAGGTACAGCTATAAGCCAGAAGAGGAAGACCTGTATGTTTCAGGAGTCACTCAGTGACAGACGTGTAAACACATTGTTTCACACACGTCAAACTCCATTCCCCTAGTTTCATAATCACAGAATATGTAAATGAAAACACTGTGAATTCACATTTCACATGCATCACAAGCATACTTCGGTGTATCCTTAACCATACATTCTCCCACAGAGCTGTTGAAGTACACATACAATATGTTTCACTGTATCAAACAGTTCATGCTGGCATACCTTAACTAGCTTTAAACCAATCCTTGAGTTCTAGGACCATAAACACAGCAGCTCTAAATTAAAGCGAAGGTTGCAAAAACCCACTCAGTACTGATGTCCTGGTTTCAGCTGGAATAAAGTTAACTTCCTTCTCAGTAGCTGGTATAGGGCTGTGTTTTAGATTTAGGATGAGGCTAATGTTGACAACACACTGATATTTTAGTATAAACACTGCTTCGCAACAACTAAGTCAGGGACTTTTCAGCTTCTCACACTGCCCTACCAGCAGAGGCTGTGAGTGCACAAGCTGGGAGGGGACACAGCCAGGACAGATGACCCAAACAAACCAAGGGGGTATTCCATACCATATGACATCATGCCCAGTATAGAAACTAGGGGGGAGTTGGCTGGGTGGCACCACAGCTTGGGGATTGGCTGGGCATCAGTCAGCAGGTAGCGAACAACTGTACCATGCATCACTTTTGTATATTCAATTATTATTATTATTTTCCCTTCCTTTTCTGTCCTATTAAACTGCCTTTACCTCAACCTATGAGTTTTACTTCCCCTCCTGCCCCCCCCAATTATCTCCCCCATCCCACTGGGCAGGGTGGGGGGCAGGCAGGGAGGAATAAGCAAGCAGCTGCATGGTGCTTAATTGTCAGCTGGGGTTAAACCAGGACAAGTGGAAGACCAATTCACTGATTAGCTCATGCAACAGTAAGAGCCTGAAAACACAACTGGCCTACAGATCAACTGCAAGGTGCTGGAAGACAAGACTGTTAGACACTCACGCTCACCTTCAGAAGGTCATTTAACTGACCTAAGAACATGATAAAGAGTAAACCACTCAGAGTACCGAGTTCAGTCAAGTAGAGCACATTTTCCTTTACTTTACAACGGGCTGGGCTTAGCTTACTTTCATATGAAATTGTACTATAAATAAAAAAAGTATGTTTGATATCAAAGAATTCATCTGATAAATACCACTGCATATAAAGGTTTACCTATGAAACTCTCAATGTCTGAGCTGAACTCAAAAAAGAAGTCTTCTATACAAGACAAGCAGCTTCAATAATTAAAAATTTAACTCTTTTTCAGCAATGCGTTTGACAAAAAGTTACATTTTAAAACAAACTGATGCTAGAACTCAGGGAAAAAGCTGTGGCATAAGTAAGTAATAAGAAAAATCAGTTCCATGTAGCCACATGATCTTTCATGATTTTTGTGAAGGACAGGGTGAGCTCTTCCTACCAGGAGAGGAGATCAAATGATTTTTCCTAGGCCTGTGCATTATATTTAAAACACAGAGTACAGAAACATGCCTGTTCAAAGACAGAATGCTGGCTGTCACCTAACCAGCACGATGCACAACAAGGCCCTGAACATGTCAGAAGTAACATGTCCCCCTCACCAGATTACACCGATTTGAGCGTACCTTAAGTACAACTCAGAGTTGAACGGTATTACTTCCCTGAAAGTTGAATAAACTAACCTCACAGTCTGAGTACCATTAAAAGTTAGAATACTTTTAGATGGTGTGTGGCCCAAACACTGGTCATGCAGAGTTCAAAACCTTTGAATATCAAGTACGTAAGACAATCAAGACTTTAATAGGAAGCCCATACCCTGTACAGAAAATTAACACCCAAACACCAATAATGGAAATAAATACAGTTTCTAACAGGTAAGTTGGGGACTAAAATGAATGCTGTGAGGCAGGAGCAAAAAGCTCTAAGATTAACATACCCATGCCCTCTTAAGCATTTATTTGGCTAGCAGCCTGCATGATATCAAGTGTTAAGGAACAGCAGTTGAAACAAATTGTATTTTGATCAGTGTACTTAGATACTAAACAGACAGTTCTTTTCAGTATTCTTCATGCATGATACCAGACATATTTTTTGTACCAGCCTTTCCAAGGCTTTTCCACTTATTTTCTCCCACCACTTCACTAAACTGAAACTTTGTCACTTGGGCACGAAGAGCTACACACATGTACATCCTTCCACACTTTTTGGGCTTTCTTCCTGTTTGTGCTTTATAGATACAGATTTAGATCATCTCACATGTGATATTGTTTTTATTTTATTTCATGTCCCCACACCTGCATAGTGCTTCTATAATCACCTACTGCATTGTCTTAAGGCTAGCCTCCCTTCTTCTACTATTAAACACAAAAAGAGCTAAAAAGAGCAGTTTATGTCCTTCATTAAGAGCCAAATCCTCTTTTATAACTCCCAAGCTCATCACAGCCTGAGAACATGAAGTCACCCCTTTAAAGTCTTCTGCTCTGCCTGTCTCGACTTCTATTATTCCTGATAATGAATTACACCTAAGTTTTCCTTTTTCTACAGTTTTACATTAGGATTTCTGTTCTATGCTATAATGCCCCTACTTTTATCTGGATTTCTAAAGCATATCTGAAAAAAAAAAAAGAGAAATCAGTACTTAAGTTTCACTATATTTTAAATAGACAGATTTAATGCTGCCCTTGAACAACTCAAGGAAACTCAAATACAAGAATAAAATGAAACGTAAATGAAAATCAAACAGAAATGAAACTCCAGTATGAGTAGCATTTTAAACTTAAGGTTACCACAAAGACATAGTAAGTCTTATATTTAGACACCATCATCAATTATTCAATTTACTTTTTAGAAAATACCTATTTTATATGCTGTCAGCATCTTAGCGTTGCTAGTCAACTGTTAAATGCCTGACCTCTGCCCTGCCATCCCTATTTTTACAATCCCTTTCAAAATGAAGTCTTTTAAACACTTATTCTGCTTAAGTTTCTTCTCCCTCAGTTTCTCATTTGAAAAGGGACAGATAAATTTCACTTTCCAGGCTATGCACAGTAGTTACTTAAAGCACATTCCAGAATTTAAGTGTACTTCTGTGTACTCCTTGACAGCAAGCTCATGCCACAAAACAGCCTCTCCTAACAATTATGAAGAACCACATTTTATTTAGGTACATCTAGCAGTAAAGTTAGAGATTTTATTAACACAGATTATTTTATTTAATTCTGTTGGATGAGTAGTTACAGATCTCAACTACTATTCAGCTTGGTGTAAGAAGTATACTGCCTGATGTTTATCAAAAGTATTATAGAGGTGATAACAATCAGTTCTTTATCAGTTTATTAACTTTTATCAATAGCTGCATGATGAAATGATGTTTAAGAATGATGCATCTGGAATAAAATCTGTCACATACAGAAAATAAGGAGCTACTTCCATCTTGCAATGCCAACACCCTATTCCATCCCTCTTTGAAATTAATCACCAAAGACCTTAGGTTAATGCTTATACTCACAAAATCTCACATACTCAGAAAATCCACAGCATCGCTACTGCTCTGGTTACAGGAAGTGCGATGCACTATCCAGTGGAATCCTGATGTCATATAGTTATTTTTGCAAACGATTTATTAGTAGTAAGAGAGTTACCAGAGTCCTCCATTGGTTCTCATATCACGACTAACCCGATGAGTAAGCAAGTCTCCTAGTCCACTGCCAGCTACAGGAAAGTCTGTCAAACTCCGGGGCTTGTACTTTCCTTGGCCTTTCCTATACTGACCGCAAAGCCAAATCTAGAAGGCGGCTCCTGAATCTTGCTCTGAAGAACGGGGAAACGAAACAGAGTCTCCCCGGCATCATCCGCCCTAGCCAGACCCCTAATGAACCTCGCTAGGGCCGTACCAGATCATACCAGCGACACTGTCCCACCTCCAAATCGGCCAGGCTTGGAAAAGACCACAACAGAAGGGCCTAGCGAGAAGCGAGAGCCCAGAGAAGCCCAAGGGCCAAATAAACCCACCACGCCGAGTCCCAGCGCCGCACACCCCCCCCTTACCGTCCCCACCCCCCGTCCCCCAGCCCCCCTTAACCTC